AAATTTGCCACTGAGGACCATAGCAATTGACGTTTTTAAAGGTACCACCCGCAACGAGCGAGTAGGCAAAGACCCGGGCCGGATTGCTCTTATCCCATTGCTGGGGAATCGGTATCGTTTCAGAAGCGATGTCATTGGGAGACAAGTAACATGACCAAAGAACGTATTTTCGCCCACACACTCATTTTGAAGAGTGCTTTTCACGATGATTATTTCTAAGAACATTATAGGAATCGAAATACCTCGGATATTTTCGGGATTGATGGCGCATACGGTGAGGGATAGGTGGAATGGAAAGCAGACGAGTGACTGGAGTCTGAACCTGAAAAATTAGCTATTCAGTGAAGGAAAAGAATGAGGAGAAACAGTGAGCCATCTTTTTTTCTGATTCCGTTCTGACAGTGAAGTATAGGTGGGAAGGTGGGAGACGGAACATCCCTCCTGTCGTGCATTCAGGATCGAATCACTCCCATTTCACGTATACCCAAATCTTTTGGTGTTCTTCTTATTTTAACCCTCAGGTGCGGTTTCCTACCTATCGTGGGGCCTGAAGGAAACACTATCAAGACATCCGTGAAGTTATCAGGTCCAAACAGTTCACTGAATGACTGAATAGCTCAACTAAACTTCCCACATACGTGTCATAAACTATAGATTGATTTTGCTTGTTTTGATTTCTTCTTTATATACAGCAGGCTCAATCAATATTCGATTTTTTATGTCCACATTCTACGGTGAAAGCGGCTAAGTCCTTATGAGTAAAACGTGTCCTCGGAGTATGCTGGAAAAGCTCGCCCGTGCTGAGGCAAGATATGATCGCCTTACAACCAGGTGCTACTGAAAACGCTGTGGAGGTTTTCATTGGTAGACTGCCTAATAACAAACATTTTTGTTCTTGACTGTACTTTCTGTAAACCTGTACTGCTTTTCTCTAAGCTTAAAATGTGAGCAAGGTCCCACCTAAATGGTCTTTTAGTCGCTCTTGCGTGGGCCGGGAATGCCTCTTATTGGCCATCGCAGGCTCTCTACCAATTGGAACCCCACCCTGTGGCCAACTCAGCTGCGTGTCCCAGTGCACAGGGACGGGTCAATGTGTCCTTCCCTTAGTGTCCTCCAGGGTCTCATCCCTGAATGGAACATCAATAAACCAAGATGCTTTCGATTGAAGTTCCACTTAAGGTGAGAAATAAACTCCATGTTAGGTACCTGAGGTGCCAAGACCACCAGAGCTCTGCCAGGAAGAGGAATAGCCGTTCATTTGAGAATAGCTGCTATCTAGTTGATTGGAGAAACCGATCGAACTGAATGCTGGCTGATACGTAGTGGTACCTGAAACTCTGTGCTCATAATATAGTTGATTGTACTGAGGCAGTATTAAGGTGCTCACTCCGATCTGGAATCGCTTGTGTTGACTGAGTATAATTACTAGACCGGTCTCGCTTCTTACCAGTATTCGTTCCATCCGATTTTGCTTTTCGTTTCCTTAAATGTGTAGGTTTTAAAGCATGAGTATCACTATTACTTCAGTTAACTACATTACATTACAGTACTAATACATCATTGGGTAGTGAGACTCATCAAACCGTACCTGGTTTGTAGTTGTCCGTCCTTCTTCATTGTTGGTGGCCGTTGAACATTATGAAGCTTGTAATATAACCCACAAGCGCTAAAAGAATATTTTTAATGGAATCGGACATAAAAACTTGGAATACATTCTTGAAGTTGTTCTCGATTCTAAAGACACACTTGCAAACTGGTTCTCCCTCAGCATTTCTCCGCCACAACGTTGTATTCGTTCCACCGCAGTTTGAACAAACCAAGCCTTGCCTCCGTTGCGAATTTTGCTGAAATTGGGAGTTTAGTGAGTCGGAAGTCCTGCAATTTCTTTTCCAGAGTGTAGGAGTTAGTATCATTTTGAAAATGAGAGAAATCTCTTGTATCTCTATATCTTATATCTTATAATATCTCTTACTTATAGAGTAAGAGGTAATTGTATGTCACGGCGATGTGTGTCGCGCGGGGTACAGGGGTTCGATTCATAGCGTTACTATTGCTTCCGTCACAAAAGGACAGTAAAAGGTGGAGGATTCTCAAGATTTCTCGGCTAGGAGAAGCCCATGGAACACCCTATTCCCATAAGTTTCGGGATGCGCCATGCACTCGATTCCAGTCCAGGTTAATGGTAACGAAGCCGGCCAATGCACTGACTTAAGAGTAGCTAAGGTACAGCTCAGTGCCTTCAACTTACCAGACGGAAGCCCGATCCTATGTATCTCAATCAGACGTCGGTCAGAAAGGATGGAGGGGAAGGACACAATTAGGTAACCTATTGTTGATCTGTGCTGGGCCAACAGCGCTTTCTGGTACTACCCATCCCTGCCTAACCCTTCTGAGAGATAGCGAAAGACTAGAAGTCCAGCTTATTCCGGGCGGAGTGATCAGCGAAAGAATTGCCGTTCTTGAAGTAAATCGTTTATTCTTATTCAGCTATCTTACTAAATGATATAAGTCACAAGGACTTACTGCTGCTGAAGGTTTCTTATGTGATGAGCCGCTTCTTGATTTAGATACGGGGATCGCTTCAACGGTATGCCGGGGCTCCATCGATGTGGGAGGATATAACTGGAAAACCTTTCCTCCCTTGTTTTCATGTTCTATGGTAGTGCATAGACAACAGTAAGAGCAATTCCTATACTTACAGTATATGTAGGCTTGTCCATTCCAAGATAACAGTTGTCACATACATATCCGCCCGTTATTGAGTGGTTGTCACCGCATGATTCGCCACATTTCAAGCATTCCAATGAAGGTGCAGGTGGAAAATAGTGCTAAAAACTTATGTTAAACTCGTGCAGCGCGATGGCATACGTACAGCAATATGTGACGCGAGCGGTAGCGACGCGTTCGCCATGACACATACAGGCGGAACCGTGAACAGCTACAAATTTATACTGGAAATCGACTGGTGCCATACCTGATTGAGATCAAATGTATTATTTGTGGTGTCTATATAATGAGTAGTTGTTGATGGATAAGGATGGAAGATGATATTTCTAAAATAAAGTTTTCAAAGAACCAACATTGCAGGTATAGGTAAAATGCACAAACCCATTAATAGCTGAAGACTGAGCTGGCTGGAAATTGAGATTAGGTTGTTGATAGCTATATATGTAATTATTGGTGTATGACGGTATCCCCATACCAGTTATACTTTCTACACTGTACGGCGACAGAGTTTCAAGCGGTGGAGGCGGATATCCTGAAGATAAAGAAAATGAATTTTCATGGAGACAGTTGATTCTGAGTAAAAGGAAGCAATTAAATATAACAGAAGGCTACTGAAAAACAATAAATAATAAAATAGGATGCTTCCATCAATTACGAAAAGAAATCAATTTTGAAAAAAAGAAGATCAATAGAGATCAATGGAGCACTATCGATTCGCTGGGTTCCTGAGCCGCTTCGCGACCGCTAGCATCATCAACTGCTCTTCAGTTATGACTGTGTGTAATACGGTTTCACGTGTTATTACTTACCAGAAATAATGGAATAATTCGGTCGTACATCAACTGCTGCTGGCTGTGGTTCAATGACGACGGATTGTCGGAAAGACGGAGGTAGATCGGGTTCGACTTTCACTGAAAGCCCAACAAATCGCCATCATTCTTTCTTACGCGAGAAATATTTTAAATTAAATATTTTGAGAAAAATTTAGTGTCGCTGTCAAGCTGAGAACGTTAGAATGCCATTTACCACTCAACTTTAACATATTTTTCTGTTGAATAGTTAATCAGACTCAGGTGATTCTATGCAGTGGTGCTAATGAAGTTTTTTCTGACCAATCATTGAGAGTTGCTGAACACGAGCAATTTTCTCGATTTCAGCCTAAATTCGGCATTACCCAGACTAAACATTGACTCAGGAACGTTTCGTATGAGATGATCCCAGTTGTACTGACCACGACGCTTTCATCATGCGGCTCCAATATTTTTTGAGGCTGTGACGGAGATGGAGCGCTGACAGAAGGCAACGCCCCATTTGTACGGTTTGTACGGTCGAAATCCGCTTTAGGCCTGTCATCCCTTTCGTTGAAATAGAAATTCGAGGTTAATGACTTAACCGAGTGATTCTAAATCCCCATTAGTAGATGATAGCCCCTACTGAAAGGGGCGGCTCCGATGATGTAAGAGAGCTGCCGAGCTCAACTGGTAAAGGACTAGGCTCCGAAGTAGAAAACCGCTATTTACCCCACTGTTAGTCCATAGTCGCTTAAGAAAGAGAAGATAATCGACTGCCGAATCCAGAAAGCAGTGCATAAGGGGTCCCTGGCCCGAGCTGCTCCCTTCTCAAGAAATGGTGTCTTGCAGACGAGCACAGTTACTACTATCTTACCTGAGACAAAGCCCCCTGATGAAATCATGAAGGAGTGAAGATTTGGTCGAAACCACGATTATCTGGAAATGTTACCATTTGCTGGGGAGTCTGTCGCTATACTTTACTCATAATGAGTCCACCGATGAGAGTGAGGAAATCTGATGCCGCGACAATGAAACGTCAGTTCGAATCTTTAGATTAGTAAGAAATATTGTAGCGAAAAGGAGCACGAGCTGGCCAAGAGGAGCTTTCTCCTGATGCCAAGATGAGGCAATATAGAACAGAGAAAAACCAGTAGCCTGGGCACACAGTAGGGCAGTTGAGTAGTTCCGAGATGGAAAAGGACTATCCATGAAATACGGAGCGAAGTGAGAAAAAGTGATAGGTGGGGCTCGATCAAAGTCCGAGTATCTACTGGAATGAAAAAACCTGATGTTGAGCCATTCAGACTGTTCGATGGAATGTCTTTCTTAGTACAATTACCGTAACAGATAGTAGGAAAGCGGCTCTCATTCTTAGCCCTTATTCAAACCATCAGAATTGCGAGCGTTAGCGATGACATCGTGTCGAACGATGGCTTCTTATCAGTAACAGTTCTATCGATCGAAAGGAAATTCGAGTAGACTGAGCCGAAACCACTCCTTGAGATTTCTAGTTACTCCTTGCTTGTCTGAACAACCGCACAGAGGTGAGGAAAGTGTAGGAAAAGTGTTCCGTTCAATCGCATGGTGCATTCCGCAGAATGGCAGTACTGCAGTAAGATTACCAGTAAACTATCCAACCGGATCAAGAGCCTGATCAATGACATGTTTCGTATTTTTACTTTAAGAGAAAATTAACTCATGGCCTGAAATGTGGAAGAACGCACTACGAGTCAACTGTTGTACGTCTTTTTCTTCCTTTTCAGCAGGCTGAGTGGGAAGTTGAAGGGTCATGCGAGGTCTGTCAGACGTCGTCCATGCTGCTGAATAGGCCAACGGCTGGCTGTCGTGAGAATTCTCCATTTGAGCACAGTAACTCCACTTTTCTTTCGAGAATCACAGCTTCCAGCCGTCTGCTCCACCTCTGAAATGGATCACACAATAGTGAAGAAAAGCTGGAACCCGAAAAAAAGTTACGATAAGATAATCAAATCCTATGTGATATGAGAATTCGTCAAAAGGGTCGCCTCGAGGTTATACTCGAACCGACCACTCTAATTCATATAAATAATAACGAAAATTCAAATAATAATTAAAGGAACATGGACGAGATGAGGACTGCACCTCTATTGTTTATGTACCTCTAAAAGTGGGCGTGGTCAAATGTGACGATTCCACCATTTAAAACCGTCGAATGGCGCCGGCATACGGTATGTATACCGTGATCAATAAATCCAGGATTTGTAATTGATTTTCGCAGATCATCGGGAACTGGTATCAGGGTTGTTAGTGAACAGCAAACATCACGCAGCACCTTGCTAAGGTGTAAACGACTTTGATTGTTGTAGATAAATTTATCAGTCTGAAGCTATCAAGACCAGCGAGGTATAAGGCCTTTAGGTATGATAACCTATCAGTGTCAGTTTTCAATTTTATTCGCAATTAGGGAGGCTGATTTACTGTACTGGCTACTATTCTGGCCCTATTACATTACATGTTTTGTTACTGCGACTAGGTGAGAGTTATGCTTTACTCGAGCTTCGTCATTTCATGGTATTTTAACTTTTTTTCTACGAGTAATCAAATTTCTTTCGCCGTTCCTATTTTTCTACGTTCGTGGTAGCCTTCAAAAACAAATTTCATAACCTACTTAATTATCTTCACAAAGTAGATCAAGTAGTTCACTAAATATTCAGAAGCAATTTTATGTGAACAAAATAAGCCCAAGTAAAATTCAAGTATTATTTCAGTACAATGCATAGGTTAGAGGAAGCAGCACATTGGTAGCAGTAATGGAGTAAATGAAGGTGCTGTTAGCGCGTTCATTGGACAAGTGACTCATTTGGTCCGGCACGGCTACAGTATACCATTTGATGCGTATCAACGAAATGACGAAGGTGGTTATAAACTAGGCATTTACAACCGAATTGCACATACAACTGTCATGTATGGAGAAGCTCAGAAGAAGGATAGCTTTTTTGGAACGCTCAAGGGAAAAATCAATAACCGTACAAAATCGATCTTGACTTATTTGATCGGTGAATTCCGCGAAAAATAACTTTGAAGCTTAACTAAATCCTTTTGACGATAAAAAAGAATATTCTCATAAGCGAATTGTTTTGGCTATGGTTGAAAAGCAAAAAGAGGGACTTTTTCACTGAATTTTCACTGGATGTTTCTACGTCCCCTACCCCATACCCTTCTCAAAAGCCAATGCTCTTAGAATTAAATTACATACCCCATGTCTTTTCAGCCTGGGTGGTCTCATCAGAGAAAACAGCTTTTCGCACCGCACACCCTTTAAAATTACTACAAAAATAAAACGGAATGAAATTCAATGAGTTAAAGTTAGGGAGATCGACTATCAATCGGATGGAGTATCCAAGTTAAGAGAAATTTGAATGCTTGAAAAGATGACGAGTTTTTGGGTGGGCTCGGGAAAGAGCGGTGTAGTTGAGCTGACCCTGCGAGGAAAGGTATCTTATCATGGGTGGGTTGTTCCCCCAGTCATAAGCGCGCTTGATACACCATAAAGTCTTCGGATGTAAGAAACTGTTTGACTAGCCGATTAACGACATTCTGGACACTTAGTGCACAATGAGAAATTCAAATCTTTCCACTTTAGCCCTATGCCATAAGGTCAACTTTCCGAGTAAAGTTACTGCAATCATGAGAACAGCAGTGATGGCATGGGGTTTATCTATAATAACTACTCTAAGCACTCGATAAGGAATGGTCCTGGCCTTACAGCGGTTTCAGACCCTTACGAAATTCTTGTTCCCTCATTTACTTTGCACAAAATATTTGCTCAGCTCAAGGAAGCCCTGTAAAAAAGTAGTAGGGCTGTAGTCGCTTACCGTTATGCTCAATGTGATGATTAACTTCCAAATTTGGAGCACTGTAACATTTTTTTGGTCTATTACTGTTACTTCTACTATCGTTTTCGACCATTTACTACTTTGGTGATTGTTATTCCAAAAATCCTTGGATTTTAGTCATAGATAAATGCAAGGTGCACTGATGTAGCAAGTTTTTAGAAAAAGAAAATCCCAGTTGTCCAAAAATCTCTGAAATCAAGAAGGGAGGCTCAAGCTGGGAGCGTTATATAAAATATACTTATAGTGAGGCTTCTAAGCCCTTTTGGGGAAAATCGCCACTAGTTTGGCATACAGAGAAACGGATTAACATTGTAGAAAAATTTTAATAGTCAGAAGTATTTTTCGATT